AAAAAAAAAAAAAAAAAAAAGAATTCCTCAGACCAGAAGAGTAAAGGCTCTTGGGTTGTCTGGTCTCTCTTGTGAAAGGGCTCACCAAAGGTCTCAGAAAGGGAAGTTCAAGGACAGGGATGGAGTTAGAGACAAATACAGGAGGTAAGATGCTTCCTAACTTCCCAAATCCACAACCTAACCCTGTAGCTGTGAAAAGGCGGAAGGGATCTTCCAGTAAGTGCCATGTGTACGGCTCTGAGCCAGGCTTCCTGGGAGATCCGGAAATGAACCAGGGATCCCTGCCTTCAAAATACAACACGGTCTGTTCTACCATGGGGATGAACCTTGAGAATACTATGCTAAGTGAAATAAGCCAGACACAGAGGAACAGATCCAGTGTGATTTCGTTTATATGAGGTACTAAGAGTAGTCAAATCATAGAAACAGAAAGCACAGTGGTGGTTTTTAGGAGCTCAAGGAGAGGAAATGGGGAGCTGCCGTTCAGGAGGGAGAGAGTTTCAGTTGGGGAAGATGAAAAGAGTTCTGTAAATGGATGGTGGAAATGGTTACAGAGCAGTATATGTTTAATGCCACTGAACTAGACACGTAAAAATGGCTAAAATGAAAAAAAATGGCTAAAATGGGTTAAGATGGTAAATTCAGTTATGTGTCTTTTATCACAGTAAAAAATAAATAAATAAATAAATAACCACAGTCCAGAGTTAGAGGGCTGACATGGGTGCCCCAGAGTCTTTGCTCCCACCACTCCTCAGGGCAGCCAGCTTTCCCCACTCTTTGCCACTAGACATGTGCGGACAGGTGAGGCCTCTCTCCAGTTCTGCTGCCTCCGGAAGCTTCCCTGATCTCACTCTCTCTGAACACATAAACGATGTATGTGTGTGCTCCTGTCTCCCATTAACCTGTAAGCTCCCGGATGGCAAGGACTACACTCTCTCTTTCTATGTCGCCTGCATGGTAGAAAGGGAAGGGCTCGCACACAGCAGGGCTCACGGCTGATGGGCCCTGAGTGTGTGCAGGGGAAGCACCCCTGGACCAATCCAGTCATGATTTTCAGGTTCAGTGTAGGGCGATGCAGAGAACACCCTATGGTGGCCACGTTCCAGAAGGAACGCATTTGCATTCCCGCAGGGACCCGGAACCCCTGGAATCCCAGCTCTGCCACTTCCTGGTTTCATCTTCAGCTATGGTTGGGCAGACCCATCACAGGGTGATGTAAGAGCCTGTGAGGGGCCCTGCATGAGGCACACCGTCCCCATGCCTGGCACAAAGTGGCAGGTGGTCATTTCAGCTTCTTCCCTCGACACCAGGGGCCCTCAACTCAAAAATATGAGAGCACACACATCCAAAGGGATGCTGAGGCTATTAGATCCGGGTCTCCATGTCTGCTGCTGCTGTGAAAAATTAGGGTGCTTCCACTCCCTTCCACGCTGTGATTTTCCTCTTTGTCCCTCTGCAGGGCGCAGCCCTGGCCAGCAGGCCCCATGGCTGTCTAAAGAACATCAGTAAACAGTTTGGAAAGAGACAGATGGCTTTGCCAGCACAGGTTCCCTCCTTCCCCTCCAGCCACTACCCTCAGAGGAGTGTTGAGCACAGAGCTGAAGACTCCCAGAGCTAAAACCTAACAGGAGAGAAAACATGGGGCCTTGAAGACATTCAGAGAAAGATCCAGAAAGTCCTCAGAGTGGGGTCCGAGTTGTAAAATTAACCCTGCAGCCATTTTCTGAGAGCCTACCATGGGTTACACACAGAGCCAGGGTCTCACGCTGGCAGCAGCTGTATGAGAGAGAGGCCAGAGGAGTCGAAGAGAAGCGGAAGAGAGCCCAAAGGGCACCTACTGAGAACACATTCGGTCCGACCGGTCCCCACTTTCTGGAAACTCAGAATTCACCATCAGTAAGAGAATACCAGTTCAGATTGCAGGTCTCCATGAAAACCTCTCATTTTCTTTATTGAGCACGTTCTCCCGCATCCCGGTGCGGGATCCCGGCCAGTTCAAGCTGGCTGGCTCCGTCGACAGCTGGCCAGACAAGGCTGGTGCCCGGTGACCACAGGGCAATCCTCCAGACCCCAGAGGAGCCACTCTGCCTGCAAAGCAGGCTTCTAAATACTACAGCCTTCCACCCCCAGCAAGGGACCCAGGGGATGCAACTGGGTCTGGCCACAGGTCTGAGCAGCAGGCCGCAGCCACCCCAAGCTGCAAATGGAAGATCAGCAACTGGCTGTATCTAAAACAAACAGGACAGAGCACTGATCACAAAAAGGCCTCTTGACAGAGCCAAAAATAGCCTTACTTGTTTCAAGAGGATTCTCAGGATCGAAGCACATACAACTCCATCAGCAGAAAAAGAAAAATCAATGGAGCAGAAAACCAGATCAGCCCAACAGGGACTGGGACTCCAAGAGATTCCCCACAGCCACACACACACACACACACACACACACACACAGCCCATCCAAACCCCACACCCGCCCCACCCTCTTCTTACTCCAATCTTACAAACTGTGCCTGGATCTTAAAACCCAGTCCCATCACCCCCAAAGTTATATACACAATTCTATGGGTTTGATCCCAAGAGTCAGACCACGGATTAGGAGGCCAAAATGAGCACCAGTGTATACTCATCCTTGGGAAGCCAAGGAAGCAAGAGTGCACTGAAGGATCAGAAAATGAAGCTGGTGTAAGATGCACACAGGAACCTATGGATGAGTAATGATGGGTGATGTCTGCCATCAAAGCCAGGCAAATCAGAACAGGTGTGGCTGTGCTTCAGCCCTGGATAAAATCTTTACCCCCTGTCGATTTGCAGTGGCCCACTGAGTCAGAACTGCCTGTCACCTCACTTCCTCCTAATTCCTATTTTCACCTGCTCTGACTTGCATTCGGGCCGACGGTTAGCAAGCGAACCCGACACTTTCTATGGCCTGGAAGCAGCTAGCACATCTTGGGTTCTCCAGACGTGTCTCGTAACTCTTCCAGGTCAGGAACAGTCGGGGTGGCAGGGAATTCCCAAGACACAGATCAATCTCTACTGAAAACACCCGTTCCAGACAGCAGAGATGGCCCCCACTTAATACCATCCCCACTGCCTAGAGTAGCATGATCAAAGGCAAGGAGATCACTGCCCAAGGCACCATGGTCCCAACCCAGAGAGTACTCCCACAAGAAGCACACCACTCCAGAACCAAAGGAACAGCTGCCTACCATCCCCACACACCGCCCCTCCCAACCCAACTGCAGTCCAAACACTGGGAATCTGCATTCAGGAGAAAGTGGGGGGATGGCGTTTGTTCAGGCACAAGAAGAGCATGAATCCTTCCTGTCCAGCGTGAAAATCAATCCGAAAAAGGTTATCTACCTATTTCTCCCTTGGCCAACGACCCCTTTTCTTTTCAATCGTTTCCAGCCAGAGGGCAGGTGTGCCCACCCAAGGTGGTGGAGGTACCCACCTGCGTCTCCATGGAAGGTGCCATCCTGAGGCAGCCTGCCGGACAAGCTGTCCCCATCGCTGGGCCAGATCTGCCCGGTCTTGCGGACGCCCACGATGGTGGCCTCCGACACGATGACCTGGCCCTGCCGGTGC